AACAGTGTTAGTTATTTTAAGCATTTTCGAATATTCGAATTTAATTTCCAAACATGTTCGAAAATTCGAATTTAATTGTAAAAACTGGAAATTTCTAAAAATATATTTAAAGGCGTTTTGCAGAAAAAAAAGTTATTTTAAGCATGTTCGAACATTCGAACTTGATTTCAACAAATATTCGAAAATTCGAATTTAATTGCGAACACAGGAAATTTGTGAAAAATAGTTTCAACAGTTTTTGCAGTATAAAGTTAGTTATTTTAAGCATGTTTGGACATTTGAACTTAATTTCGAAAATTCGAATTTATTGCGACACAGAAAATTTGTGAAAAATAGTTTAATCTGGATTTGCAGTATAAAGTTAGTTATTTTAAGCACGTTTGAACATTTGAACTAAATTTCGAAAATTCGAACTTTATTTCGAACATTGAAAATTTGTTAAATATTATTACAATTCACATTTTGCCTAAATTGAATCACTTTAAACACGTTTGAAAATTCGAAGTTAAATACGAATATTATTTTTTAATTTACAAGTTATTTAGAGCAAGTTCGAAAATTCGAACATTGATTTTTTATTTAAAAATCATTAAATATTCCTTTGTAGTACAAAATCTGTTATTTTAAACATGTTCGAAAATTCGAACTTAATTTTAAAGGTTGTTAACAACATAAATATTGTTTTTACCCTCTTGGTATCAAATTACATCTATTAATACCCAATTCCTGTTCACCCCAAAAAACTGTCACTTACACTCGTGAAAGTATATCTTTTTTCATTCTCTATTTCCCTTAAAAATGTCAAAAGTTCACAAAACTCAAAACCAACAAAAGGTGTCAAAAAGTTGAAATACATTGTGACCACAATTCATTTGTCAGTTTTTCTTTAGAAACATATCCCTCTAAAGAAGTAAATTGAATAAGAAATTCGTTGTCTAAATATTTAGCACACACACAGGCTTTCATAATCGCTCATATCACTTCCATCCCTACCTCCTCTCTCAACCCACTTTTTTCATTTTACAATTTATTTATTTTCTTTGTTGCAAAAAAAAAAAAAAATTGCAAGAATAGAATAATAAAACCAAATAAAAATCGTGACTATAAGAGCCATGACAAGCTGGCAGTTAGAATAACTTGGTTCCAATATGGGTCAAACATCATCAACAACAATTTCATAATCATCATTAACAGCAGGCAGCAGCAGTAAGAGCTCCTCACTAGTCTCATATCTAACGAGCAGTTAAAAAAGCCAGCGAGACAGTGAAGAAGACGTTGAGGATGACAAGAACAACGACTTATTGTTGCAAAATAATATATAAACAAATAAATAGTAGAAGAAGAAGAAAAAATAATAAAATAAAACTTTAATAAATACTATTAACTAAAGAGATACTGTGAGTAAAGGGAAGTATAGCCCATTAAGAAAGGAGGATTAATGGGGACTTACAAGTCAATATTATACTTGTTACTCACTATTATATAAAACAAAGATTTATACTAAAGAATCCTAAGATGCTTAAAAAATTAATTTGTTTTTACGGATCTGATCAGTTTTTTTTAATATCTCTTTTATGTAGATATTTGACTAAATACAAATATTCAGAACTTAATTGGCCGTTAGTTCTTTTTATCTAGGACACTTACTTAAATAACATGAAGTGGGTTACTTCCCCTTTAGGAATGTATTTAAATGTATTCGCTCATGTTACTTTGTGTAAAATTGATGAAACAATGACGTTTTATATAGAAACAATAAAAAATACAAACTATGCCGCCAGGCTTAAAGTGCAAAACACAATTACATACATTTTACCTAACATTAGGGAGGCACATATTTTAAGTTGCAAAAAAAACACAACTAAAACAAAAATAATGTCAACACTTTTACTACCTCCTAAGAACCAATCACGTAACTAGTTCTGTGTTCATTTTCTTCCAGTAGGAACTAAGAAATTCTAACTAATGATTTTATCCAGTATTTTTACACTTTAGGTCTTTCCAATTTCCAAAAGTCTTTCAAAAACCTTCTCGGTCTGCCTAAAGTACATTTTTTTAATTATTCCTTTATCATGTTGTAACATCGCTAAGAATGGGAGGAGTTAGAACATAAAGTATCTTTGGATGTAGTCGACAATAACCACAAGTAGTTGCTGTAACTTTACTTTATGAACGACAACAGCAGTTACAATGTAGTTTTAAAATAAAATTTACCAAACAAATAAATTCATTTAGAAAATTTATGAGAACTTTGTTCTGATTTTGTTGTTCATTTGCGATAGTGTTAAAAGTACACTCCCGTCGGAAAACATAAACGAGGGTTATACCAAAAAACGAAAACAAAATCCTTGAACAAGCTATATTTACAATAGTCAGGCTACGGTCAGAACATAGCAACCACAATAGTCTTGACTAGTTCTAGTCAATCTATAGTCCAGATTACAGCCAGTCTATAGTCAGTATAAAGTCCAGACTATAGTCAATATATAATCTAGACTATCGTCAATCTATAGTCCAGACTATCGTCAGTCTATAGTTCAGACTATAGTCAGTCTATAGTCCAGACTATAGTCAGTCTATAGTCCACACTATAGTCAGTCTATAGTCTAGACTATAATCAGACTATAGTCCAGACTATAGACAGTCTGTAGTCCAGACTATAGTCAGTCTATAGTCCAAACTATAGTCAGTCTATAGTCCAGACTATAATCAGTCTATAGTCCAGACTATAGTCAGTCTATAGTCCACACTATAATAAGTCTAAAGTCCACACTATAATAAGTCTGTAGTGCAGTCTATAATCAGTTTATAGTCCAGACTATAATCAGTCTATAGTCCAAACTATAATCAGTCTATAGTCTATAGTCCAGAATAAAGCCAGTCTATAGTCCAGACGAAAGTCAGTCTATAGTCCAGCCTATAGTCTACAGTCTGGACTATAGATAGTCTACAGTTGGACTATAGATAGTCTAAGGTCTGGACTATAGATAGTCAGTCTATAGTTGGACTATAGATAGTCCATAGTCTGGCATATAGATAGTTAGTTTATAGTTGGACCATAGATAGTCCATAGTCTGGACTATAGATAGTCCATAGTCTGGACTATAGATAGTCCATAGTCTGGACTATATATAGTCCATAGTCTGGACTATAGATAGTCCATAGTCTGGACTATAGATAGTCCATAGTCTGGACTATAGATAGTCCATAGTCTGGACTATAGATAGTTTATAGTTTGGACTATAGATAGTCTATAGCCTGGACTATAGATAGTCAATAGTCTGGACTATAGATAGTCTATAGTCTGGACTATAAATAGTCTATAGTCTGGACTATAGATAGTCTATAGTCTGGACTGTAGATAGTCTATAGTCTGGACTGTAGATAGTCTATAGTCTGGACTGTAGATAGTCTATAGTCTGGACTATAGATAGTCTATAGTCTGGACAATATATAATACATAGTCTGGACTATAGATAGTCTATAGTCTGGACTATAGATAGTCTATATTCTGAACTATAGATAGTCTATATTCTGAACTATAGATTGTTTATAGTCTGGACTATAGATAGTCTATTGTCTAGACTATAGATAGCCTATAGTCTAGACAAAAGAAAGTCTATAGTCTGGACTGTAGATAATCTACAGAGTGGGCTATACATAGATATTTTGCGGTCTGGGCTATAGAAGGTTTATAGTCTTAACTAAAGTCCATAGTCTAGATTATAGATAGTCTATAGTCTGGGCTATAAATAGTCTATAGTCTTGACTATAGATAGTCTATAGTAGTATACATAGTTTATAATATATTCATGTACGCATTAACACATTCAATATGTAGGCATGACCTCATCACACAACTCTCGTAACCACAAAAATGTTGTGAATGCTTCTATTTTCCAAGCAACCTCCTTTTAAAGAAAATATTTATTACGTTTCTATACATAAGTATGCATTTTAACACCCGCTTCACGAATTTAACCTACACTAGACAGACAGACAACATTCATTCCTTTCCCTCTCTCTTCCATATGAACTTCGAAACATAAAGAATTTCTTCCTGATACCAGAACTGGAGAACATAAAAACAATTGCAAGTGTATAAAATGTGTGTGTGAGTATGTTGTCAGTCATGTAACTCATTTCCAATGCGGTATGCAACAAACACACATGCATCATTACATATAGAGGACACACATGTTGTACGTTTGTTTGTTGTATGAAATGGAATGATAATATCATCATTTATGCAGTTGTTGTGTTTTACACTTTTTGTTGTAAGTTTTTGTTGTTTGAACATTTTAATGCTGTTGAAATTGTATTAATACGAGATTACAAGTAAAAACACAACAATTTCAACAACTATAAAAAATTCTGTTGTAATGATGCGTTACAGACTGGCTTGCAACAAATGCGAATGCAAACACCAATAAAAAAACTGTTTACCACATGCAAAATTCCATTTGAGAAGATTTATTTTTTTATTTTCGAAAAAATAGATTAAAATAATTGTAAATGATATTAAACACATAAGTAAGTTGAGAAAACAAGGCATTTGACCTGATAAATAGGGAGCGTAAAATAAAATTGCAAAATTAACTATTTTGCAATTTTATTTTACGCTCCCTATATAGGCTATAGGCTATATTTGAACTATAGTTAGTCCATAGAATGGACTATAGTCAGTCTATTATGGACTATAGTCAGCCTATAATCTGGTCTATAATATATTCAGTCTATAGCCTGAACTATCGTCGTTCTAAAGTCTGGACTATAGTCAGTCTATAGTCTTTACTATAGTCAGTCTATAGTCTGGACTATAGTCAGTCTATAGTCTGGAGTATAGTCAGTCTATAGTCTGGACTATAGTAAGTCTATAGTCTGGATTATAGTCAGTCTAAAGTCTGGACTATAGTTGGTCTAACGCCTGGACTATAGTCAGTCTATAGGCTGCCTATACTATGTTGTCTAGGTTGTACTATAAATATTACATAACTCACCTTCATTTTCGCTCTTCCGTCTACGAGGCATACTGTTATAATACTGTTGTTGCATTTCCGACTTTTCCGTTGATTCATTTTCCTGTTTCTCATCTTCGGTATGCACCGGCGACGAGGGTCCCGACGAAGCACTGGCTGCGGGCGAGGCTGCCGAATTACTACTACCACTCAGCAGACCATTACCACTGGCTGTGGAATTACTATTGCCCAGACTATCAATGGATGCTCGTTTGGCAGCATAAGCATATGGTGGTTGTTTGGTGGGCGAAACGGGCGTTTCAGTCTCCACTAAATCTATAGATTTTTTACGTGGTTTTTCGGGTGGTATCGGTGGCGGTGCTATGCCATTCTGTTCATCGATTGAACGTTGTTGGGCAGCTGCAGCGGCGGCCGATTTGGCTGGTGGAGGTGGTGGTGGTTCGGAGATTTTTGTGGGTGAACGTACACGCTCCGGATTCAGTTTTATGGGACTGATATTTTTCGGCTTAACCGCTGGTATGGGTGGCAGTGGTGGCGATTTAACTGGACTACCGATTTTATTAGAACTGCGCGGTTTTATTTCGGGCGGTTGTACGGAATGTCTTACGGGCGGACTAGGTGGTTTGTCCTGTTCATGAGCTAGACTGGCTAAAATGGGAGAACGTGTTTCCATTTGATTGCTCATTTTGTGATTACTTAATGGCGAAGTTAAGACCGATTCTTTCTGTTGTATAACCGAGCTGGGTATTAATACTGTGCCCGGCCCAGTTCGTATTATATCGCAGCGATTTAGATCACTGTGAGAACGTGTTGTCTTTGTTTTGGTAAAGTGTGAGGTCCACTTTTTCTGTTTTTCGATTAATTCGCGTGAGTTAAATTTTCGTTCGGGTTTTTCGGGCTTATCGGCCGACAATAGGGCACTTACGCCACCCGCGCCTAAGGAAGAATTTACACTTTCTTCGGTTTTCAAACGTGATATATTATGTTGAAATTTCGGACTAGGCTCCATTATGAATTTAGAGTTGGCCAAATTTGGTCCACCATTTAGTTGATTACAGTTATTATTGGCCATCGAGGCAGCCACCTGACAACCGGACGGAAATGGTGAACGTCGTTTAGGTGGTGACACAGAACGATCTGAGGATCTCGACGATGAACGATCTGAATGATTTTGTAAATCACAGAGATTATCTTCACGCGAACCCGAACGTTTAACACTTAAGTTTGAATTACTCTCGACACCGAGTTTTTCGAAAAGAGCTCGTGCGTTATTAAAACGAGCCGAATGGGATTCTGTGCGTACAACGGTCACTGGTGTACCGGCAGCTGCATTTGCAGCCGCGGCGGCGGCAGCAGCTGCTGCGGCTGCTGCTGCAGCAGCACTTAATTGTTCAACTGGTTGTATCTCAATCGGTTTGCGTTGGAAAAGATTCGCTATTTGCGAAACTTTACCAACGGCTGTTGTTGCAAAGGTTTCTTCCATTTTGACGATTATAACGTAGTAGATTGATTTTAAAGATGCTGGGGGCGGTAGATGTCTGTAATAATCAAAAAAAATGTAAGAAAGTGTTTTAAAAAAAATTGACTAAGTAAATGTTCAAATTACAATATAACCATAACATATAATTGTATATAAATTCTAAGAATTATAGTATAGTTCCAAGACAAAAGTTCAAGTATACTTTTAGTTCTAATTCAGTTTTAGTACAGCTCTATTAATTATATATATAATTCTTGAATTTATATACACATAAATTGTATATAAATCTAAAAAATTCCAAGACAAAAGTTGAATTATACATTTAGTTCTACTTCAGTTCTAGTTCAGTTCTAGTTTCAGTTCTAGTTCAGTTCTAGTTCAGTTCTAGTTCAGTTCTAGTTCAGTTCTAGTTCGTTCTAGTTTCAGTTCTAGTTCAGTTCTAGTTCAGTTCTAGTTCAGTTCTAGTTCAGTTCTAGTTCAGTTCTAGTTCAGTTCTAGTTCAGTTCTAGTTCAGTTCTAGTTCAGTTCTAGTTCAGTTCTAGTTCAGTACTAGTGCAAGTCTAGTTGCAGTTCTAGTCCAGTTTCCAGTTCAGTTCTAGTTCAGTTCTAGTTCAGTTCTAGGTTCAGTTCTAGTTCAGTCTAGTTCAGTTCTAGTTCAGTTCTAGTTCAGTTCTAGTTCAGTTCTAGTTCAGTTCTAGTTCAGTTCTAGTTCAGTTCGTAGTTCAGTACTAGTGCAGTTCTAGTTCAGTTTCTAGTTCAGTTTAGTTCAAATCTAGTTCAGTTCCAGTTCGTTCTATTCGTTTAGTTCAGTTTCTAGTTCAGTTCTAGTTAGTCTAGTCATTCGAGTTCAGTTCTAGTTCAGTTCTAGTTCAGTTCTAGTTCAGTTCTAGTTCAGTTCTAGTTCAGTTTAGTTAGTCAGTCTAGTTTCATTTCTAGTTCAGTTCTAGTTCAGTTCTAGTTCAGTTCTAGTTCAGTTCTAGTTCAGTTCTAGTTCAGTTCTAGTTCAGTCTAGTTCAGTTCTAGTTCAGTTCTAGTTCAGTTTAGTTCAGTTCTAGTTCAGTTCTAGTTCAGTTCTAGTTCAGTTCTAGTTCAGTTCTAGTTCAGTTCTAGTTCAGTTCTAGTTCAGTTCTAGTTCAGTTCTAGTTCAGTTCTAGTTCAGTTCTAGTTCAGTTCTAGTTCAGTTCTAGTTCAGTTCTAGTTCAGTTCTAGTTCAGTTCTAGTTCAGTTCTAGTTCAGTTCTAGTTCAGTTCTAGTTCAGTTCTAGTTCAGTTCTAGTTCAGTTCTAGTTCAGTTCTAGTTCAGTTCTAGTTCAGTTCTAGTTCAGTTCTAGTTCAGTTCTAGTTCAGTTCTAGTTCAGTTCTCTTTCAGTTCTAGTTCAGTTCTAGTTCAGTTCTAGTTCAGTTCTAGTTCAGTTCTAGTTCAGTTCATTCTAGTTCAGTTCTAGTTCAGTTCTAGTTCAGTTCTAGTTCAGTTCTAGTTCAGTTCTAGTTCAGTTCTAGTTCAGTTCTAGTTCAGTTCTAGTTCAGTTCTAGTTCAGTTCTAGTTCAGTTCTAGTTCAGTTCTAGTTCAAGTTCCTAGTTCAGTTCTAGTTCAGTATTCTAGTTCAGTTCTAGTCGAGTTCTAGTTCAGTTCTAGTTCAGTTCTAGTTCAGTTCTGAGTTCAGTTCTAGTTCAGCAGGTTCGAGTTCAGTTCTAGTTCAGTTCTAGTTCAAGTTCTAGTGCAGTTCTAGTTCAGTTCTAGTTCAGTTCTAGTATCAGTTTCTAGTTTCAGTTCTAGTTCGTTCTAGTTCATCAGTTCTAGTTCAGTTCTAGTTCAGTTCTAGTTCGTTCAGTCAGTTCTAGTTCAGTTCTAGTTCAGTTCTAGTTCAGTTCTAGTTCAGTTCTAGTTCATTTTAGTTCAGTTCTACTTTAGTTTTGTTTCAGTCCTAGTTTAGAGCTGAATTTGTTAATATGTATGATTCACTTTCAATATTTTATTATTTTTATCATTAACATTTTTTTCATACTACCCTAAACTTTTCTTTAACCATTTTGAAATATTTTTGAAGAACCTTGCCACAATTATTTAAAGAAAGATGAAAATACAAACAATTTAAATTTCACTTTAACACTATTGTTTAAATCCGTTTCAAATAAATGTTTATTTGCTACAATCAAAACGTTTTCATACGATAATTTTTATTTTTCAACACGTTGCAAATGTCTGATTATCTTTTCTGTTCTTTTATATTACAACCAAATCAGTACAATTTTCTTGTTTAGTTTTTGTCAGTGAAAAAAAGCGTCTAAAGTAGAGCAATACTTTGAAATGAATAAAGAAAAGACGTAAAATAATAAATACATACGAGTATAAATTTTGTTTTATATGACAAACCATACAAACGCAATTGTTTACTAGACACAAGTACTTTTACAATCAGTTCTTTAGGTTGGAAAATAAAGACGACAAAAGTGATTGATACATTACATATGGGTGGGAGTAGATCGTTATATGAGCACCCTTTTGGGGAATAATTGTAATATGGATGACATTTTGAAATTAATTTTGGAGGAAATTATTGTTAGAAATATGTATACACTACGTTTATAACCGTCATGGGCATCGATCATGTGAATGCTGAAGTGTGAGTCCATCTGAAATTGATCTTTAGCGTATTTAAAAGATAAAACTCTCTGTTCAGTTTATTAGAATACATAGATTTCTTCTGATTTAAAACCAAGCATTACTGTGGTAGTTTGCCTATCAATGCCCACTTGTACAGATTGCATTACAAATATTAAAATTAATAATTGATTTTTTTTTTAATTTAAACAATAATAGAAGTATTAGCTTCAATTGTGTTACCAATCAACTTTCAAACTAATACTACCATTTTAGAAAAATATACCAATTTTAAAGAAAACTAATGTCAATAACATTTATGACACTCACTACATAACAGACGTCAGCACACATAGGCAAGAGGATCCAAAAACAATACACTTAACCTAACACAAATATCATTGCACAAAAATCGACAAAATAATTGCTTTCAAAAGCTTTCCAATTTCGAAATTTTATCAATGTATTCGTCATAATCTCTTTATGCCGTTCACTGCTTTATATACCCCAAACGAAGGTATGAAGTGTGTGCGAAAACAATCACGATACAAATATCTATTTCATGACAATTAATACAAAATATATTTTGTTATTGTTTTTTTATATTTATTGCTATTATTTCTTTTTTGTTATCGTTTAACATGAAATTGATTTTAAAGAAAATGTTTTACTTTTAAACAAATAATTACAACAAGAACAACTAATCAGCGAAATTGAAGCACAACAAAAATGTTAAGAAAAATAAATAAAATAAAGAAGAAACACACTAACAAAAGAAAGTAAAAACAAGTGTGAAATTTAAACCAAACAAAATATTATTAAAAAACATATGATGAGAAAGTGTAAAATTTTTGTAAACAAATACATATCGATAATTAGTATAGAGATGTAACTGTAGCGATAAATTGGCTTAAAACTGAGAGTGTTATTACTTTTCTTTAAATAATAGAACTATACATTCTGCTAAATTTTAAATATCGGAGAAATTGGATTGTAATTTTGTTTATTTCAGTTTAAGTTCAGTTCTAGTTCAGTTCTAGTTCAGTTCTAATTCAGTTCTAGTTCAGTTCTAGTTCAGTTCTAGTTCAGTTCTAGTTCAGTTCTAGTTCAGTTCTAGTTCAGTTCTAGTTCAGTTCTAGTTCAGTTCTAGTTCAGTTCTAGTTCAGTTCTAGTTCAGTTCTAGTTCAGTTCTAGTTCAGTTCTAGTTCAGTTCTAGTTCAGTTCTAGTTCAGTTCTAGTTCAGTTCTAGTTCAGTTCTAGTTCAGTTCTAGTTCAGTTCTAGTTCAGTTCTAGTTCAGTTCTAGTTCAGTTCTAGTTCAGTTCTAGTTCAGTTCTAGTTCAGTTCTAGTTCAGTTCTCGTTCAGTTCTAGTTCAGTTCTAGTTCCGTTCTAGTTCAGTTCTAGTTCCGTTCTAGTTCAGTTCTAGTTCAGTTCTAGTTCAGTTCTAGTTCCGTTCTAGTTCAGTTCTAGTTCAGTTCTAGCTCAGTTCTAGTTCAGTTCTAGTTCAGTTCTTGTTCAGTTCTAGTGCAGTTCTAGTTCAGTTCTAGTTCAGTTCTAGTTCAGTTCTAGTTCAGTTCTAGTTCAGTTCTAGTTCTGTTCTAGTTCTGTTCTAGTTCAGTTCTAGTTCAGTTCTAGTTCAGTTCTAGTTCAGTTCTAGTTCAGTTCTAGTTCAGTTCTAGTTCAGTTCTAGTTCAGTTCTAGTTCAGTTCTAGTTCAGTTCTAGTTCAGTTCTAGTTCAGTTCTAGTTCAGTTCCAGTTCAGTTCTAGTTCAGTTCTAGTTCAGTTCTAGTTCAGTTCTAGTTCAGTTCTAGTTCAGTTCTAGTTCAGTTCTAGTTCAGTTCTAGTTCAGTTCTAGTTCAGTTCTAGTTCAGTTCTAGTTCAGTTCTAGTTCAGTTCTAGTTCAGTTCTAGTTCAGTTCTAGTTCAGTTCTAGTTCAGTTCTAGTTCAGTTCTAGTTCAGTTCTAGTTCAGTTCTAGTTCAGTTCTAGTTCAGTTCTAGTTTAGTTCAAGTGCAGTTATAGTTCAGTTCTAGTTCTAGTTCACTTTTGATTCACTTCTAGTTCACTTTTGATTTACATCTAGTTCAGTTCTGATTACCAAGCAAGATCAAATTGGGACCGCAATGGTTTAAAAGTTTATTAACCTCGAAATCGCTAAATTTATACTAGGAAATCATGATATGTCTAAACAATTAAATTTGAGATATAAGAGTAATGTAAAAAAATTTCTTAGAAAACAACTTACATTTCAGGTTTATACATATAGATCGAGATTTTTTATCGCGAACAAACAAAACTTTACAACTTAAAACTTGATAATTCAAAAAAGTTCATATTTAAAAGTGATTAAATAACCGTCATTCACGTTTCAAATGGGTGCTATTTGGAACAACTTATTTCATCAC